GAGAAAGAGAAAGAGAAAGAGAAAGAGAAAGAGAAAGAGAAAGAGAACATCACCAGGCCTCCGAGGTTAGATCAGATCTCTCTCTCTCTCTCTCTCTCTCCGCCACCAACATCAGCAAGGCACCGTCAGTCAAAATTCATATTAGTGGTCCGCGGGATTTAAAATTATGAGGTTGGTGGTCCCTGAGGTCCAAAAGGTTGGCGACCCCTGTTATAATGAATTGACTGAATTAGATAAAAACGGAAGAAAGGATGATCAAAAAATGGTATGGTTATTTACTAAGAGTGAAACTAGAAGAACAAGTCAAGGAGATGACGATAGCTTGGGGGAAAAATTTTCGTTATGGGATAGACTTGGATAAATGGCAGATACTATGAGATAGAAACTATAAATTAACAATGTCAACAGTTTATAAAGAAAATTTCTATAAGAAGTTTTACAGATGCCATCTTGGCCTGGCAGGACTGGCAAAGATGTTTAAAGACAAATCAGCAAAATGTTGGAAATGTCATCAGATACCTGGATCATATTACCATATGTGGTGGACATGCACAGAAGCTAAAAGATATTGGAGAAAAATACATACATGGTTGGAAAAGATGATAAAACAACATATAAATTTAAAGCCTGAGATACTTCTATTGGGGATTTTACCCTAGAACTATAGTAAAGAAAAAACATATTTAATTATACATATATTAACAGCAGCTAGAATTGTATTTGCTCAAAATTGGAAAAATGAAAAGGTTCTGATGGAGGAGGAGGTGATTAAGAAAATATTGGAATGTGCAGAAATGAGTAGGTTAACATTGGCAATTGGAGAACAAGAAGAAATGGAGTATTATAAGATTTGGGATTTATTTTATAAATGGTTGGAAAATAAAGCAAGAAATTAAATGATATTGTTATAATGATATATAATGTTGAATAGGATGTAATATGAATGTAAACTTAGTAAGAAATATATACAAATATTAATATGTGCACAAGATGTATGTACCCAGTCAACACACTGTATAACTGAAAGATGGGTTTGTTTGTTTTTTTAAAAAACTTTTTGGGAAAAAAAAGACAATTAATATTTATAATCCACAAGGGCCCACCAAATCCCCAGTATTTTATAATCCACAATGCCTAGCAGATCAAAAGGCCGTCCACTTGCTCTCAAAACAAATCCAAGCTGTTTCACAGTTTTACACTGCCAAGCATATTTATAATCCACCAAGGTTCAGAGAATTTCATTTTTTAAATTTTTATTCATAAACATTGTTAGTGTTTGGGGATAAACCCCCAAGCAGAGTATGCAGCAGCAGT